TGGAGAAGACTTACTCGCTTGCCTTGTGGACTATGATGCATCATTCCCCTTGATGCCCCCCGCCAATAACACTGAGATTACTTTCCGTCGACCTGACTTGCCCATGTTTATATTGGCGGAGAGTCCCTCCTTGTCCGAGCATATTACTCACCCCCTCCTCATGCCAGGATTGTTGGCATCTAAGCCATTCTGTCAAACACTACCGCTCCCCAGCCCTCTATATTCTCTACCTAAAAGTTTAAGTCTGAGGTGGCAATTCTCATATTCAAACTCGGCCTCACTTTACGCGAGACCAGAAAGGAAGCACGTCGACGAGGTTTTTCTCTTACCCACTACTCCAGTGTTGTCCTTCCCTCTGGCCCTCCCCTTCTCAAGATGTTTCTACATCTCCCACTGTAGCTATTCGTCATCGATCTTACGTTTCCACTTCTACCCTCTCTCCCATTCAAATTATTTTGCCTTTTCAAAATCAGACACCCTAGTCTCTACATCTGCCCTGACACCTACCCTTTGCTCTCCCCGTAGCAAAAAATTTAAACGTTCCACCCCATCGCCTACCACACATCCTCCACGTACCTCTTCCTCTACCCCTCAGATGCCTGTCTCCTCTTTCCCCCTCTTAAGAAAACTTTAATTTCTCAAATCTACCTCACCATCTTCATTGCTGAAATTCTTGATGTTCAAAACTTTCAACTCATGTCCCTTACAGACAGAAACCCCTCACCCATCCTCCGAACTCTCCACTGGCACTCCCTCTAGACTCAAAGTGACTGCTGATATCCATCCTTCAACTCATGTTCTCCCTTATACCCCTTCCTCCTACTCCCTCTCAAAACTCCCCCTCCCCCTTTCATTTGCATCAACCCTTTTATAACAACAATGCCCTTTCCCGTAACGTCCTCCTCCTGATAATTTACCTCCTCTCCGTAATAGCTTCTCTTACATATCTTCCTGTACCGATTCCCATTTACCCTTTTGTCTCTTCCTCACACCCTTTTTGTCTTGTCTATAGTTATCCATTATGATATACTTCCCTTTCAAACCAGTGTTCCTTGCACTCTTATGTGCATCTGTCTTCGCCGTTGTATATCAGTTATTTCAGTCTGCTTCTCCCATTCCTATCACATTAACCTTGTTGCCTTTGAAACTCTGCCTTTCCAACCCCAAGCATCTTTCCTCATAGTTGGTTATTTTAATCGCCGCCACACTCGTTCAGGTGATTCCACCACTACCTCCGTGGCTGATCTTTGGAACGCTTTTCTCTCCACAACTGACCATTTTAGTTTTAATTATCACCCCACACTGACATGCGTACGCAATTTCTTCATGCCTTGTCCTTACTCTATGCTCTTTTCATTTAGACTTCCATTGGTCAGTTCTAGGTCACTTTCCTTCTAGTGAACACTTTACCTTTCTACTTCATAAATCTCGCTTTTTAACCACCCATGCTGGTTCTTTGACTGAGCTGACTGGCATGCTTATACTTCACTCTCTACTATTCTTCTCCCTTTATCATTCTTCTCGTCCACTTCAGATATGCTTCATTGTGTCAGTTACTAGCCTTGTCTTCGTCTAGGACCTGACCTGTGCCCAAGGGCCCAGCCAGGCGTGTTTCAGCTGTGAAAAGCACAGCTGTTGCAGACCATACATGCCTTTCGTTTGAGCAACATGCACAAGGAATTATTCTCTTTTTCGCCGAAGCATCGTATTCCATGACGGGTAATTTTTAAAAGGAAGAACGTAGACCGATTTATGAACGCTAATATGACGGGCCGTCGACGCGAGTGTAGATCCTCAGTTTCAAATGAGCCATTTTGTTTATTTGGTTTTGATTAAAAAAAAAAAAAAAAAAAAAAACAATTGTGTGATATTTAACTAAATGTTTCATGAAAAATCTCTCTTTTGTCGACTTTATAGATGGTTAAAGACAATGATAATTTCTTTATGCGAATTAAAGACAGGGAATTTTAACTGCACCCTGGAAAGCCCGGAGACAGGAAAATAACCTTATCCCTCCACGTGTGTTCCATGGTGGTACTCTGATAATACCAAAGCGCGTATGCCTAGAGAGGATAGCTGTTGTAGGATATGATACCGCCATGTGGTATCATATGCTTTCTATAGGTCGAAGAATACTGATATGGTGGATTCATGGCGTGCAAGTGCGGATAGAATATAGGTTTCAAATGAGCAAGGGATCCGAACTGCGAAGAAGAGAGGTTATTCGATTCTAG